TACATATATATATATATGTGTATATATATATATATATATATGTGTGTGTGTGTGTGTGTGTGTATATACACACACACATACACATATACACACATATTTACGTGTAGCAAAATGTCATAAAATAAATGAATTCCCGTCTAACAATCGCACAAACATTTTCAGAATGGCACTTCAACACTATGGCGGACGTCGATCCTTTGGCATTGTCTTCGCAGCGAATCAAATCGATTTATCGATCAAGCGAAGGCCAAATAGTGATGGAAGTTCAACAGCCAAAGAATTTCCCATGTCCTCGTTGTGGGCGATGTTACAAGGTGAAGAGATCATTACGTCGACATATCGTGGTCGAGTGCGGTAAGGCACCGAAGCACAAGTGCCCTTATTGCAAGCATCAGAGCAAGTACAAGGCCAGCATAACGAAGCACATCACACATGTACATCCAAATCTGCCGTTCCCATTTCTTAACGATTAATCATTTGTCGAATAACTTTATTTATTCTCCTTTTTTATTACTGGGATTAGAATTATGGATAATCGAATTATATATTTTTATATTTATCAAACGTAAATAAATTTTATTTTGATTCTGTTTTGCAAAGGATGAAATCAATTTTTCGCAACGTGATATTAAAAGTTTCTTTCTGTCTTAAGATAATAAATCAATTTTTATGTTGATATACGGTACGTTTCTGTATTTAGTGAAGATTTGTTATATTATATTTTGTGTGTGTGTGTGTGTGTGTGTGTGTGTGTGTGTGTGCGTGTGTGTGTGCGTGTGTGTGTGCGCATGTGTGGTGTGTGTGTGTGTAATATTTATAGAATCATTAATTTATAAAATAGAAAACATAATTGATTACATTTGTAATATTGTCACATCCTATCATTAATTGCGTGGGAAATATCTCCATAGAGTATCGTAGAAAAATCTTGTGCAATTGTAAATAAAACTGACATCTTATTATTAGCTAATAACGCGTCAAAGACAGAATGAGTCAGAACGAATGTTCGAATGATCAATTGTTGTAACAGTTGCTTGTAAAATATTCTCTTTATCTTATATTCGTAATACATATTAAGAGAAATATTGACGCGTATTATTATTTCCTCACTAATATCATTCTTAATTCCTATAGAAAAATTAAATTCTAATATACTAGATACGAATTCAATCGTCGCTCAACTCTTCACAGTGCATTTAGGAAGACAATGGTGAGAAAATTTATGAATAATTGTACTATGTATAGATGAAGAATACAAAGCGTGAATATATATAGAACAAGTTTTGAAGAATTAATTTAAGAATGTTCTTTTTTTAAATAAAATGCACATGAGGATATGTAATTGTATTTGCATGCTTGTGATATTATATATTATACTTTCCAGAGACTTGGCGGATCTCTTCTCATATAGCTTTGTATATTCTTATATTGTTATTTTTCAATCACGTTAAAACTTTATGATCCAGCCTACTTGAAAGCTATCCTGTTGGCAATTATTTTTTTTTACTGTATCACGCAGGACTTGAGTTGACTTTGTCAACAAAAATAATTTCGTTTATATATTCGATTTAAGATAGACATCGATTAATGAAATACTTTTTTCCCATCCAACTACGAGGATGACGAAGACCAGTGCTACTTCCAGTATTAATAAAGTGCTCTTCATGTTTTCAGGTTACATGAAGATGAGCTATTACGTGGTTCAAAGGTCTACGGGGAAGGATCGACGGCGGTGTCGTGGTCAAGGTCGCTTCGCCTGTGACAACTGCGATCGCCGTTATCATCAGATGAAAAATCTAAGAAGGCACGTGACGAACGAGTGTGGCAAGCAGCCGACACATCAATGCTCCTACTGTCCGTACAAAGCAACTTACAAGTCATATCTTCAAGTTCACATGATGAAACACGCCAAGCACGGCTTCGTACCTCGCATGACCATCTCTAAGCATCAGGATTCATGAAAAAAACTTTTTCGACGTGCCTGTTAAGTAATGTCGACTTTTTATTATTTACTCGAGTGTCGAAGACTTACCAAGATCTCGAGAATTTCGTAGAACGAAGGATAATACGAGAATAAATGAGAAATTTCTCGTGCGATTTCTTTAAAATTTCTAGTATATGCCAATAATATCTTCAGTCTGAAGAAATCTTGACTATTGTCTAAAAACGTATATGTAACAAAGTTTCGATATGTGTATATTTTTTTTTATCAATTTGTTTCAATTGTGAAGCATTCCATATTTGTATCGCTATCCTAACGTAGAAATCTGTCTGATGAAGATTATTTTAGATTAAGATAAATCTTTGAGTAATTTAATAAAATCTACATTTCATTCTAAAACTAATATCTTTAAAATTCCTTGCCAATCAAATCCTATTGTTTTCCTTATTCTTTTGATATGTTAATTACGTTCTGTAGCATAGACTCTAAATTATGAATCTCTTTGAGAATGCAAGATGATAATTAGCGATAACAATAACAATAACAAAAAGGTAAGTAGGGTTTAAGAAAAGTGATCAGATATCTATCTTAATTGTTAGATATACGATATGTGGATAATCCATATTGTGTAGATTCTATAAGACAGAATAACATTTGTGTTTGTCTTTTGATGTTCACGCTAAGCATATTTAGTGGACGACAGAGACGGAATGTCACGGTGAGAACGGAGAACATTACTTTTACTACCCAAGCGCTCCCGGAAGAAGCTTGATATCGTCATGAAGCATCACATTTCTCATTGGAAAAATGATTCGTGCTAATCGTTGATAAACTTTTTTCTGTTTCAGTTGATCTGAAATACGTTGCGATATCCAAACATACCTGTGTCACCTGCGGCAAAACTTACAAGCACAAGCATCATCTGAAGCGGCATCATGATTTCGAGTGTGGAGTCGACCCGAAGTTCAAATGCGCCTTTTGTCCACACAGAACCAGATACAAGGACAGCTTGATGAAACACATACTGGCGCGCCATCAGCATCTCTTAGAACAGAATTCGCAATATGGTCATCAACAGGTTTTCGAGACGCATACCGATGTTGAAATGAATTTTCATGCACAGGAGACCAATGCGTTTAATGTTTATCCTGATTTTACACAAAATCTCTAACTTGTTTCATTGTACTAGTGAATTATATTTATTTCATTGCTGTGTGGCTGGACATGATTATCCTTACGAAAAAATGTGATTGGGAGCCAATAATAACTTTTGATATTCAATCATAACTGTTGATTGACGAATTATTGAGCCATCAATAGTTATTATTGATTAATAGTATTATTGGCTCTCAATCATATTTTTTCATAAGGATAAGCGAATACAAGAAATTCTAAGAGTATATGGAGATTAAAATAGCCACATAAAAAATAATTAAATTAAATCCTTGATTTATCTTCTGATTTTATAAACTATTAATAATGTGCTTCGATAATGTAATATTTAATGCAAATATGATACGATATTCAAGAGTGAAATTTTTATTATTATAAACAATTAAATCTGTTATGATTAAAATTATTTTACTAATAGTTGAATATATATGTGCGTTAACATTTCAAAACGATAGCAATTGTTATTTAAAAATACATTATACTTCATTTACTTACTTTCTTTTTATTGATTTATTTATCATATTTTTGTATTTAAAAGGATATAAGAATGACGCCAAAGTTTTGTCATCATAAAATGGCTAATTATATTAGCTGTTTATTTAAATAATTTTATAGAAGTTTTGTATAATATTGTTATTTTCAATCTTGACAAAATATGTATGTTGATAAAAGATAAAAAAATATAACATTTATGTCGAATAAAATTTCATTATATATTATATATATATATATTATTAAAATAAATGTAAAATAAATTTCTTTCCTGGCCTTTCATTTTTCGATCGATAATTAATGAAAGTATTAGAAAAATGAAACCTATGTATCTATTTACGTACGTTTACTATTAAGAATTGTGATTACACATTATATCTCAGATATTTTATATATTTTATATAGTTTATATCATGCACATCATGTTGCTTTTTCGAGGCATTAACCGATGTCATTTATGCGAATTTAAGCCTTGAGTCAATATCATCGAGATTGAACTTCATCTTTTCTTTTCTTGATTCGCAGGTACGACATATAGTCCGGCCAATTGGACGATACCCACTTTACCATCGACATCGCGAATTGCAATGTATACTAGACGCCTCCGTTCGATGTCCTCAAGCCAAGGCATAATTATCGGCGGAAAGGGTCCTCGTAAGTATCTCTGCAATGATTGCAGCCGGACGTTTGCTTTGAAGGCCTCGTTACTGCGACATAAAGCGTACGAATGCAACAAGGATCGTCAATCTCAGGATGAGTATGATAATAAGGCGAGGAAGTCGAAAAAAAAGCACGTATGCATCAGATGTAATCGTGTATATGCATTTTTCACGTCGTTGTGGCGGCATCAGAAATACGAGTGCGGAGTAGAGCCGAAATTCGTCTGCCCTATTTGTAAAGGTCGATTTGCCCAGAAGAGCAATTTGGATCGTCACGTGCGATCGAAACATTAAGACTGTAAATACTTTGACTTACATTTGATGTTTTGACTTTAGCGTTAATGCGTTATAAATAATTGAATTTGTGTGATTTTTGTTGACTAATATGCATTGATTCATGATTGATGTAGTTTACATGGAAAGAACAGTTTTACTGAAATATCTAAAAATTTAGATAGATGCAAATCTGAAAATTATTTTGTTAGATCATTAAAATAATTACGTAGAAAGTGATTAGAATGTCAAAACTGTTTGCAACATCATGCTTTAAATTCTTACGTAATTATTTCGTAATCCAACAAAATTATTTTCAGATCTGTGTTTAAATTTTTAAATACTTCAGCAAATCGTTTTTTCCGTGTACGTATCTTTTTACATTTTATTTTTCCTTACCCAAATTTTAAAAAGGAGACCTAGTTTGTAAGAGATTAGTAACATAATTGTTATGTTAGTTATATTTAATAAGTATTGAGTGATGATTAAAAATTATCTTATTTTCTTAATCTGACATTCTACACATATAGATAATGGATGAAATTACGTATGTTTTGTTTATATTTCAACTTTATGATATTGTTAATGTAACACATCGATACAAAAAAAACATTTCTTGTAATGGAATCAATTATGATTTATACTTTTTGCATTCAATCATGTTGTGTATGTTACTTTTAATTCACTTGTGTGAAACTTGATTTTTGATATTCAGAATTAATAATACAGAATTTGCTATAATTTTATTAGCATACAAAGCAAGAGATAATAGAAATTATGGTTTTGATAATTATATCAAAATCAAATTGCTATAATGTGTCTAGTAATTAAGTGTTTGATACTATATTTAAATGTATGATACTATAGAATAATAATACTTAATCATAGACTTAATAATAGACTAAACCAGACAGTATAAATTAAAATATTATTTTAGACAAAAATATGAGATAAGTATGATGACATTGTACATTTGGAAATTAATGTGGTACAGTTTGTGTTTCAAACCAAAGAAAAGAAAAACTTTATCAATATCATTACAGTTGCTTTGATTGCCAATCATCTGTATATAGTATTAAATGTAATAAAGTAATAAAGTATATGTAAAAAGTAATCGAATAAATTTAATCAACTAAAAAAATTTAATAAAAGAGAAATGAGGTTCTTTATATAATAAATTATCTATTTTTCATTGTTACACGCGAGGAAAGAGAAATATTCTTTCATTTCGACAATTACGAGTGTGATTCAGACATCCTTTATTATACTCTTGATCTACTATAATACGTGTTATAGTGTGTATAATATTTGTGCGGTCGAAGGGATGTAATAAAGTGTTCGCGTGTGCGAAAAGTAACCGAACACCAAATTCGTGCATGCAATTGATTTTGTCTCACCGTTCTTCGAAGTGTCTATCCTGTCCAGTTTTAGGGGCACGAGTCAACTTCAGTTACGTCAGTCGTGTCACGGCGTTTCAGGTGTGAAGAAATACTCTAACATAACTCTTTTTTCGTTTGCAGGGCTCGTGTATGGATTTCAGAAGCCGCAAGACGCAATAAGTACGCCGTTGACACAAGTACCGCTGATGCCACTAACGTGTCCGCAATGCGGGCGAACATACAAGATGAAGCGTAATCTGAAGACTCATATGAAGTTCGAATGTGGCGGCCAGAGAAACTTCCTGTGTCACTTGTGCCCGTCTAAGTATACGCAGAATATTAGTCTGCGTCGTCATCTTTTACAAAGGCACAACCTTTACATGCCACCGAAGTTCTCGGTACCCAAGCGTATCTTTAATAAACAGAATAAATAAAAATAAATAAATAATTCACTCAAGCAATAGGATTGATGTTTTTGATGAATGAATCGCAATGATTGCTAATTTATCTATAGTTCCTTCGAATGGAGTGAATACGTCTCGTGAATCTTCAATCTCTTAATCAATCACATGCGATGAATAAAAAGATTTTAAACAATATGCAATTTGATACGTAATTATAAAGTAAAGGAAACATATATATACATATACAATAGCAAGAATGGAAGAGCAAGAATCGTTACCGTTATCGTTACTTTTTTATAGTAATGACATTACATTATTGTTATAACGGTAACGGTAACGCCAGGAAAAGTTACTTTTAAAAAGTAACATTATTCATTAAAAAAGGTAATTCGTTACTTTACTCGGTGCTCGTTACATATGACTAAAGTAATGAGTTATTTTTTTCAATGAATAACAAATTAATTTTCAAAAGTGATTTTCTCAATTTTGACATCATTGTTCTGGCGTTACCATCATGAAAAATTGTAACATTATTACTGAATATCGTATTTTATTTATTATAAAAAAGTAATGGTAATAGTGTTGCAAGTAACGCGTTACTATCCCTATAATAGTTCAAATTGAGGAACATTTCTGGAAATGATTGTTTTCGTATAAATTTTTTATCTAAATGTTTCTTATAACCGATTTTATCTTATTTTGTCTTATTATTTTTTTATCTTATTTTATCTTAATTATCTTATTGCTTGAATTTATGTGTATATATTTATTATCATAATTTATAATTTATATGTGCAAGGACGCAAATTTTTAAGACCAAAGAATGATAAAATGCCCCATCAGTAGAGCATTCACGTATTACAAAATATTGAACTTGTAATATGTAATATATTCCAGTTTAACAATACATGAATCGCCGAAATTAAATAAATAATTTATGCGATTCTTGGAAACTAAGATGAAATGTATAATAATATCTTGATTAATTGAGTTGTTGGAAAAATTTGTTTTAAGAAACAATATATATATATATATCTCATTTATAAATAAATTTTTAATAGACGATCATATACGATTTATCCCTTATTCTCTTCCCAGCTTGAAGGAAAGAAAATTGGCATCAGGTTTGCAGTCGGAAAATACGTGTTATTGGTGTTAACTCGAGAAACTTGCACCTATCACGCTTGATACATTAACTGATTATTCCTCTTTTACAGAGTTGCCGACAGTTGCCACACGAAGCCTCGTAGATGAAACCTTCAGGAACAATGTAGTCTTCAATTGTCATCAGTGCGGCAGAACGTATCAATCAAGACACAATCTAGTGAAACATCTGAGATTCGAATGTGGCGGGCAGAAACACTTCGCATGTTCTCTTTGTCCCTCTAGATATACCCAAAACGGCAAATTGCGACAACATATGCTGAATGCCCACAATATTTTTGTGCCCCCATTACATTTTCGAAAGAAAAATCTACTTTCGGAAATTATGTTCGGATCTATATCGGCGAACAATTAGTTGTCTTGATTTAATAATAAATGGGCACGTTGCAATACAAATAATTTGCTAACCCTTAATTTCCTTTATCCTCGAATAAAAAAACGTTATCGCAGTTACGATGATTAGAAGTTAATAAAATGCGACGAACTGAATTTTTTGTGAAGCTCGACGCATGGTGTAAAACAGGAACATAATAGTTGAAAATTATTGATATCATTGACATAGTCGATTAACAGCGCTATATTAGCAAACTTTGTTTTTGTAAGATTGATGCATTAGCAGCATGGTTTTTTTTTAATAATCCCTTGATTTGCATTTTTTAAGTATTATATCGGTTTTATTTTTTTTCAGAATACAGAACCCTAATGAATTTTGATAAATAAAAATTGTTTGAACATATAGTTTGAAGAATTACACATAACATATGAAAAATTTATCAGTTGTTTTGCGAAAATTTAGAAGTATTCTGCGTATTTCAGCTAAGTATGAGATCTCATATTTCTTCTTGCGCATAATTTTTTTCTTAATCTCTCATTTTTAAATTATACCGAACATTCTAAGAAGATACATATATCAAATACGATATGATTTATGTCAAATACGACATATGTCAATACTGATATTGATTATTTTCCTGATAGAATTTATGATTAATTTTTCCAAAACAGAAGTATAATTTAAAACATGCATTTGTCTTGCATTTGAGTACATAAATTATCACTTCTTTTATGGAAAAATTAAATTGAATTATTTCAAGAATTTTATTTTGCTATTTACATATGTTTTACCAAAGGATAATTATACGAAGTTAGAAATTATGGCCCATATCCTTAGAATAAAATCTAACAATTATGTAAGTATATCTTATTAACGGTAAATAGCGCGAGATATATTTTTTCAAGGCAAAGTATCTGTATTTGAGGATAATACGATGTACCAGATTGTTCCATGGTCATCCACTGGGCTCCATAAGTCACATAAAACAAGGAGAAGATCAGTGTGTGCGAGTTTCGTTTTACGATTCTATATACTAATCAGCGTATGAACGTTATTTTTTCAGATTTTTACGAGAGCTTCCGTCCCCCAGACAATCCCGCGGTCTACGAGCGAAAAGCTCATGTTACCCCGACGAAGATTGCCAGAGTTAGAACGAATGCGAGGAATTCTAGCAACGATGAAGATCAGGCTCTCCAGTGTTCCGCCTGCGGAAAGAGGTACTCGCTAAAGCACAACTTGGCAAGACACGTACGTTTTGAATGCGGCGGTCAACGAAGATTCTCCTGTCACCTGTGTCCGAACAAATACACGCAAAACGTCAGTCTGCGTAGGCATCTGACGCATCATCACAACGTTGTGATGCCAGTGAAGAAGAGATACAATAACCCGAGGAAGATGTACGATCAAATCATCTATCAATAAGAACGACGAGCAAGATAATTTCGTTGGAAGATGACGTTAAAAACTACAAATCGAGAATTGGGAGAACTTGTGCCAAAGATTCGAGAATCGTCGAATGAAGATAGATTAAACTTTAAACTCCGTGAAACTTACGCGTGAAAAACAACATGAAGAATGTTTTGTATGAGCCTTTCAGGCATAACTAGCCTCTAGTTTTGCATAGTTACCAAAGTTAATAAAATCTTAATCTTTATAAGTTGCACATAATAAATTATGTTGAAAATATATGTTGTCATGTTTCAGCTTAATAAGAGCAGATTTATAACAGATAATAATATATTAGTATGTTTTTTCTAATACATTACATTACTTTTTTAGAATTTATTTCGTTATTTATACGTATAGAGTATGAACTTTTCAGAAGAGTTTTATCCATGACAAATACTTGCACGAAGAACGAATTAATGTTTTTGACATTGTTCCTACGATGAACCAATCGATATCTCGAAGTTTGTTCACGTAGTAAGAATGAAAGTATATAAAATGATTTCAAGCAATTTGCCATTGATAAAATATTCTCGCTGTAAGTTTTTGCATGCTGATGTTACCAGACGCAAAAAACGCTATGATGAGGAATTAATTGATATCGTGTTTAAGTTTGTCGTTGTCGATGTCTTAAGATGTTTTTGCAAAATACAATGTCGTCATTGATCTCCTGCATTCGCGTCAATCTAGAATTTCATTTTGTCAAAATTTGATCGTCGATGTATCATACGCACACGGACGCATTCTCAGAATAATATTTTCTTTCGTTTAGCAGGTTTCTCGAGGTCCCGCTTGAGCCGCTTCGCCTGTCGAAAATGTGGACGCGGCTACACGATGCTCTGTAATCTGCGCAGACATACGAAATGGGAGTGCGGCGGGACACGCTATTTCCCGTGCGTCTACTGCTGCAAAAGTTTCACCCAAAAAACGAGCCTTGAACGGCACTTGAAGGGAGTCCATAAAGTCGACTTCGTCGATCACGGGATAGCATCTAATCTTATGTAGACTATTTACCATTGTAATCCATCCATGGCTCCTAAGAAATTCCTAAGAAAGATAGATACGCGAGCGATCTCATATCAGTTTGAAATAGTTTCTTCCTTTCCCTTCCCTGATGGATGTCAATAGTTGATGGTAGATTAAGCGGCTAGTCGTCGCTTTAAATATGCAATCGGGTTGTTCCGATTGCCGATCAAATGGTTTTATGAGTTCGCGAATTTTCGACGACCACGCCGAACTCCTTTTCGTGTCTCTTTTCGAGAAGTCGAAACGTGATCTAGCGGGTTAGCGCGGATCAGGTCTCGATCGTTAAGACTCGAGTCTAACGATCTCGGTCAGCAAGGTGAACTCATGACTAACACGACTGTCATCTTCGTCTTCTTCCAGGTATAGTCTGGACGACCATTGAGCCGGGACCGCCCCGGAAGTCGCGACACGCGAATTACCTGAAGGATGAGGATCTCACTCTCAAATGTCCCCAGTGTGGCCGGGGTTACAAGGTCAAACCCAGTCTATCGAAGCATTTGAAGTATGAGTGCGGCGGTCGCAGGAACTTTTCCTGTGACCTATGCGGACGCAGTTTTACGCAAAACGTCAGTTTGCGCCGTCATCTGATGCAGAACCACAACTTTTATCAACCGCCAAGGAAGCAGTGTGTCCGGAAGATCATCAAGTGAAGAGTGTTATGCCGTCCCGTAATTGAAGAATCCATTTATTGAAGATCCATTCATAGAACGCGCAGCTATTCTGGATAGAATTCATCACCTTGGAAGTGGGAGTTTTACTGCGACATCTCTGTGAAGAATGATTCAAATGGACACTTGGTTAATGACTGTACCACCTTCTGTGTCTTCCCGCGAAAATTATTTGTAGCCTATCGCCGAAGATTCTAGCGCCCCTTAGAAGATTAAATAAAACTTGTAATACGTGTACATCTCGAATTACGCAACGATTCTATGCAAACCCGAAGATCATCGCACGAAGAACATTATTATAATAGTATACCTTATCGATATAATCCAATTCTTACAAATTGGATTCCAGAACGTTAATAAAATTTTAGACGCTGATAACACTTTGTGCCTAGATCCATAAGATACACATTATCTATAGCAAACATAACAATAAATCAGTCTCAATGAGACGTCGTTTATTGCCTCCACATTTTCCTACAATCTTCGCTCGATGCGGATGTACGTTGTCTTCCAGAAGATTAATTTTTTAAACGAAACTTTCTATTGATTACATTTTATATTTTAAACGAATATTTTTTATTGATTTTTTTATAAAGTTTATTATACATAATTCTCGTAATCTGTAAATAATTTATTGAAATTTGCGCATTTATTAAAATCTTTATTATCAAGGCGCACACACTATTCTTAATTTTCTTCTCGGCGCCGTCCTATGCCGGGAACTTCGTATCGCTACTACATGTACGTATGTATTCAATAATTATTACTGGAATATATGTATATCATTTCTTCTATTCTCTCCTGCTGTCCTTCATGATATTCGCAATTATCCATGAATGAAGTTGCGAAGTCGCGCGTTCTTTTAGTCGTTAATCCTTATTATTTAATTTCTTTTAAGCAACATTATTAGATAATCCGATCGTCCTTTTTTTAAAAACCGTTTACACGTTCTAATATATATATATATATA